ACTCATGGTTATTGATCAGTGGTCATGAGAATTTGCATAATTAAGATTAAGGAACTGACCTCACAGCCCATTGTCCCTCAGTGGGCTGGTTTCAGTCATTATACAAATGTACGGTTATAAGGTTGAAACCTGCAGTCAGCTGAGACTGAAGACGTCACCTGATGATGACGAAACGTTTCTCCCACTGGAAACGTCCAGATGCACAGAATCAACTTTTGAGGAGGGTTGTTTGTTTGTTCATAAGACATTCATTTGGTTTAATTTGACTCAATAAAATGTACAATAAATTGTTTTTGCTCTTTCTGATACAAACAATTTTTGGCTGCCCCCTTATTCACCAATCTTTGGCATGTCTGCATGTTTTATGTGGAAGATGTTTTTACGTGAGACGTCCTTTCTGATACAATCCCAGAGGGACTCGTTCCTCCTCCAGTAACCGAACTGGGAATCTGTCACTCGTCCAACGTGTTAATCGCTAAAAATAACATAAATAAAGGTTTGAAAGATGACAAAATAAGATCAATAAGTCACCAGAACACAACTTTTCTTTTCTCTCTTTCTTATTTTGTTACAATTTTGGAAAGCATCATTTTATTTCCTGCTACACAGAGGTGTGGCCAGTGTTGACAGATCCATGTACTTGACAGCCAGAGTCCTCTTTTTTTAGCATTGCCTGCAGGCATTATATTTTGAAAAGGTTCACTTTTATATTGATATATTGCATTATACAACATTGTTATTATTATATGATGGTTACAGCCATGAGAGAATCTACTGCCACAGTAAGGACACTGACACCTGATGTATATATTGTATCAATCATAGCTGATATTTTTGTTACATTCTTACTCATAATGTTACATTTTGTAACATTATGAGTAAGAATGTAACATCATTCTACTTTTCAAAGAGGTTCACATATGCTGTAAATATTCTGTAAAATGGATCCAAAAGCAGAATAAGGAACCAACACACACCGACAGGAAGTGGGAATGAAATGAAACCATTTAAAGTGTAAATGTTGATAAGATGGCGATCGTTCCCTCCCCCGCCTCTGCTCAGCCGCCCTGTCTTTGTTGCTACCTGACGGCTCTCTCCACACGCCTGGTCACTCTCCTCCTCTCTCTGTGAACCCGGTGAACCCGCCTCTTCCTCACAGATGCTGTCACAGCAGTGAGGACCAAAGGCTTCTCTCTCTCTTTCTCTTTTTCTTTGCGGTATGTGTGAACAAACATCTCTTTGCCCGCTGCTCACAGTTTTCCTGCGGTGTCTGTCTGCAGTGACGGATTCTCTGTCATCGGTGAGAGGATGATGCTTTATGTCAGGAGAACCTGCAGCAGAGCATAAACACAAACACTGGCCACAAAGTGAGAGTGCTGCATATGCAGGATTACTCCTCTGTGTTATCACTATACAGCTCCAAGTGTGTGTTTTCACCGCAGAGGTGTACATGCATGATTACATTGTCAACACAGAAGTGAAATCAGGCTCTTGTGAAGATGCAAACACTTTGGAGAGCACTCATCGATGCTAATAGAAGATGAATGAACGAATCTCATTTTCTGTTGAGAGCACGTGTGCGCAGATCAAGAGTTGGTTTGGAAAATAACTGAATATGGTGCAACGCAAGCAGAGGTTAAAATAATCTGTCCGTTGTATTTTTCTCCTGAAATATGTCAGCTCACTTCATGACCTCCGTCCCAAGGGGGTGGAACTGAGGGAGGACAGGAAGCAACATGTTTGTGTGTCTCTTATCACGCGTGAAGCATGAGTGTGTATCTGTGTATGCACTCATCGCTCCAGCTTTTCCATTTTCCACACCTTAATGATCCCATCCACGTGTTTTTGAAGATTTATAAAAATTTGCTGTATTTTACATATATAAAAGCAGCATTCACAGGAGCTTAAACAACATCTCCTTTTTCTATGATATAACATATATATCATCTGTTAATATTTGTTGATTATATTGTAGCTAACAAGAATGTTGTCAGATGATGCAGGAACCAAAATGAAACGACTGGCTGTGCATGTTTCTGGAGTAGTGAAAAATCGCCTGAGATCATCATTTGACTCCCTGCGTGACTTCAGCAGGATCAGACTAACTGCTGCTTGGAAACCCAGCTACAAACAGCGAGAGCTTATTAAAACGCTATTAAGAGTTCATCAGCCCATCACGTACTGCATGTGTCACAGTGAGCATCGCCGATACAGCGGTAAAATATGTAACCCCTAGATTTGGTCTAAGCACTTTAAATAGTATTTGTAACATGGCTTTGACTTCAGGGCAGTGTTTCCTCACTGCTATGTGAGCTACAGCCGAGGTGTTTGGAAAGTCCTGTAGCATTAAAAACATCATCAAATAAAACATATTCTGTCCATCAGTCCCCGGTCATCTGTGATATAAAGGTGACACTAACAATTTAGTTCTCACTTCTGTTGAATGTAATATATTGATTCCTTGCCTATTACTTTTTAAACTACTCCTTAAAGTTCAATCAGTTTTTAATGTATAATTTAATGTCACATCTATTTGGTTTAATTAATAAGTGAACCAAACGGCTGTGTGGCATTACCTGCAAACACTTTGCTTGAAGCTGACGGTTAAAGTAGGCCTATTATACAGGGTGGGCCATTTATATGGATACACCGTAATAACATGGGAATGGTTGGTGATATTAAAGTCCTGTTTGTGGCACATTAGTATATGTGAGGGGCAAACTCCTCCAGATGGGTGGTGACCATGGTGGCCATTTAGAAGTCGGCCATCTTGGATACAACTTTTGTTTTTTCAATAGGAAGAGGGCCATGTGACACATCAAACTTATTGGTAATGTCACAAGAAAAACAATTGTGTGCTTGGTTTCAACGTAACTTTATTCTTTCACGAGTTATTTACAAGTTTCTCTTTGTTCACATATACTAATGTGCCACAAACAGGACTTTAATATCACCAATCATTCCCATGTTATTATGGTGTATCCATAATATGGCCCACCCTGTACTATGAGTTCCTGTTATTGAGTACTGTGCAAATGTTTCAGGCCTCATTTCTTCATATGTCGCTTCAAAGGACCCAGGCTTAAAGTTGTGTCGAGCAACTGTTCTCCAGGCTTTCTGAAGGTCTGTCAAAGTTTGTCTTTGGACATTAGCTGCTATTTCTCCCATTGCCACTCCAGTCCATTTCCAGAGGAACGTTTGTTTTTCCTTTGTGAAGCCATTTAACGCTGACCTATGGATCATTCAAGCCATGCAGCTAACTTATGACTTAGCTAACTAATGACTTAGCCAAGAACCAGTTTGACAGCCACAAAATAGCATTTGTGCACCGAACAGGAGATCTCCAAAGAGCTGAAAACTTGGCATATGTTGGCATGAGATCAGCACGTCCTTAAAAAATGAGGAAACTAGAAAAATGGACAAAAGATTATCTGAAAGTGACGTCATCAAGAAACGACCTGAGAGATCCATCTTCAGTTAATCCAGCTACTGTTCACTGAAGCCTCATCAGAAATGGTCTCAGTGGAGGGGTGGCTGTCAAGAAGGCATTCTTAGGGAAGGGAAGCACAGTCAGACTCTGATCAACTATGTAATACCATATGGAAAGTATCTGACTGGCAGCAGTTTGTTTATTCCACTCATGGCCAATGTCACGAGAGCACAGACGGACAGAACAATCCAACAATATAAATCACGGATCGGCCGGACATTACTGAAGCAGCTAGCAACCAAAGAGGAGACTGGAGAACTCTTACTGAACAGGCTTTGCACAAATTTCAATAGATTTCTGCATCTATTTGAAATTTTCCTCAAAATTGGAAAATGTAGACTAGAGATGTTTTATATTGTTACAGTGGAATATGTCTGTGAAGGTTCTCAGTCATCCAGGTCATCGTAGTCAAAGGAGCTTGCAAAGAAAAGCGTCTGGACTTCTTTAAGTTGCTTGAAGACGTTTCACCTCTCATCCGAGAAGCTTCTTCAGTTCTAAGGTCAAATGGTGGAGAGTCCCAGATATAAACCTAGTGGGAGTTTCCCCCCACAGAGGGACAAAGGACCCCCTGATGATCCTTTAATCACCTGAGCCAAGGTGTGAAACTGGGCGTGGGTCCCAATCAGCCAGAGTTTCGGGTGAGCTCACTGTGAAACCTGGCCCCACCTTATCATGCGAATTCCTGAGATCAGATGGTCCAGGATGTGAGTGGGCGTTAAGGCGTCTGGGAAGGATCCCTAAAACTGGATTATAGATGGCAGAGAGTTGGTGTCGTAAACCACCGCCTCTGTTCAAAGAGGAGTGAAAGAAGCCATCTATGTCCACTGTGAGCGACCATCTTTGAACAGAGGCGGGGCTTACGACACCAACTCTCTGCCATCTATAATTCAGTTTTGAGATCCTTCCCAGACGCCTTAACGCCCACTCACATCCTGGACCATCTGATCTCAGGAATTCGCATGATAAGGTGGGGCCAGGTTTCACAATGAGCTCACATGAAACTCTGGCTGATTGGGACCCACACCCAGTTTCACACCTTGGCTCAGGCGATTAGAGGATCATCAGGGGTCCTTTTGTCCCTCTGTGGGGGGAAACTCCTACTGGGTTTATATCTGGGACTCTCCACCATTTGACCTTAGAACTGAAGAAGCTTCTCGGATGAGAGGTGAAACGTCTTCAAGCAACTTAACGAAGTCCAGACGCTTTTCTTTGCAAGCTCCTTTGACTACAGTGGAATATGTTTGAATATGTTGAAGTTGTTCCCACAATGCTGTTCAAACCTTCTCTTTACCAGGAGCAGCCAATCAAAAGGAGGGTGGCTCAAATGGAGGGGAAGTAGATAAAACAGCTTGTTTTACAGAGCGGACGACCCCAGGGTCAGCACTACAGCTCAGTGTTTGCTCAATACTGCGGCTAAATGCAGCAATCCTGGGAAAATTCATGGATCCAACAGAAAGGCACAGCTGTGGAGAGACTGAATGACTCGGAGACAAGAAGAGGTCGGCTTTTGTTTTTTCGTAGTCATGAAAACAGTGGCTTTTTAATGTAAACACTACATTCGATTGGTTTTTCCAGCACGGACATCCCACATGAAATAACAACCATTCACTAAAGAAGAGTAGAGGGAGAGAGAGAGAGAGAGAGAGAGAGAGAGAGAGAGAAAGCTGCACAGAAAAAAGCATTCACTGGGTAAAGAACAAAACATAAAAAATATGACGGAAACGGGAACAAAATGAGAGGAAAAAATGCTTTCTCATGTCATTATACACGGTTGTTTTCTTTTTTAAAAACTAGAAATCAAGAAGTCAATATAGAGAGATGGACGAGGGCTAACACATGAAGAGATAACAGATCTACTTATTGTGTGTGTGTGTGAGTGCGAGCAAGTGTGCATGTGAGAAACTGTGCTTTTCATTGTAGACCTGGAAGGAGTGGGTTAAACTGAAAAGAGACAGAGAAGAAGAAGAAAAGAGCATGACTTTATACAGCGTAGATGTGTGAACATGCGGCGTCCCTAACTAGCGGACGCAGCGAGAAACGTGCTCTCCCCCAAAAGTGTTTGTTTGTTTTTTTTCTTCTGAAATAATAAAAAATAGATATTGTTATAATATTATATTTAATTGTTCTGAGTCAGGCTAAAGTGAGGACACGGATCTAATGCAGGGAAACAGGCAAAACGGTAAAAGGAGAAGGGGCGGGGCACAGTTCAGAGCATTATAACAAGACGGCGGGGTCGGTCTGAGATCTTCACGGATCAGCTCGCTTTGCAAAACATCTTTTACATTTAAAAAAGGGAGATATAGAGAAAGAGATACTCTGTAGCTACAAAGCACGAGAAAAGTTTTTGGAATATTAACAGGATCATTAGGAAGGTCGTTGGCGGTACTGTGGTAATGTTCACTGGGGTCTTTATTATTGTAGTAATCAGAGTACATTTTTGTCCTTTTTCAGCTCACTTTAACACGTCGCTGTACTCTGAACCTTTCTGTTGTCAATCCTTGGAAACTTAAATTGTCACTTTTTTTCGATATATATATATATATATATATATATATATATATATATATATATATATATTTGCCTCTGCCGTGTCCCAGAAACCAACAATCTTCTCAGTTTGTTTGTTTCTGTATTTTTCTGTTTGTTTTTTTACTTTTACTTTTTTTTCTTTTTTTAAAGTTATCTGAGCATTATTTGTGTGTACTTTTTTTTGTCTATAAGTTGTATGAATTAACTGATCTCTTTATACAAAGGCTTGAGTATCACATGCTATCTGGGCTTTAGAGGGAAAAGGAGGAGGACGGGGAGATGGGTTGGCAAAAAAAGAAGGAGCGCCCTTTAACTTTGCAAAAATAAGCCAAAAAAGAAAGAGATGGAAGAAGATGAGAGAAGTAAAGGTGTGGCATGACGAGAGAGAGAGAGAAAACAGACAGGTGTGTGAAGAAAGGTGATCAATCAATAAATAAATTAATAAATTAATCGACCATTATCAAACCATGGGTGAGTTTTCTTACACGGAGAATGTTAGCAGATCTAGAGGTTATAACAGTGAGAAAGTTTTAATCATAACATTGTGTAGTTGCTTCTATAAGCACAGCTATCTACAGTGCAGTACCTTTGTTACATGGCACTGATAGGACTGTTAGCACATTTCCTATTGGCTCCCACACCCGGCCGTGGCCGACGGTTTGCTAGTGGCTTAGGCCTGGAAACAGGAAGCCTTACATCCTGTCGATGAAAACCACACCTTGAGTAAAACGATCCCCAAAAAAGTGACTGACAACAAAAACAACAACAAAAACCACTTAATGTAAACAAAACACTAACATTAAAATCAGCATCGTCAGTTTTAGCAGGTCTTGAGAGTTTTGGCTGACCCGTCTAGTGCTTCTTAGTACATTTTCACATAATTCTGCAAAAACTGTTATTACATAATCACTACTACAGCAAAAAAGAAGGACAAAGTAATACACACACACACACACACACACACACACACACACACACACACACACACACACACACACACACACACACACAGGGGTGTCAGGTGAGGCAAAACGTGAATAAACATCAGTGTACAGACTGATACTTGCAATAAATATACATATGATCAACAAAAACAAGAGTCATAAAAAACGTACAGGTTTGGGTTAACAACAAAAGACAACGTAAAAGAAAGGAAACGGGGAACGGAGGCTTTCATCGACTTTGTTCACAAAGTTTTCAAGGCTGCAGGGTTTCGTGTTTTCTACTAAAACAAATTTGTTTGCTTGGCAGCAAGCTCAAGAACGTCAGGAAGAGTCGGAGCAAGAAGAGAGCAGACAAGAACTAAAAACGGTATATATATATAATATATATATATATGTATGCCTATTTTTTTAAAATTATCCTCATTATTAATATGTACCTAGTTTCATTTTTCTTTCGTTTTTTCTTTAAGTAATCAGCATCGTCATCATCGCCATCATCATTTCCACAGCAGTGTCAAAGGAAGAGGAATGAGGAGGTGGGAGGACAGAGGAAGGGACAGAGGGGGGAGGAAATAACAGGGTCGGTAGGCGTGCTCAGTACAAGCCACACCCTCGGAGGTTGTTGGCGATGATAATATCGGTCACGGCGTCAAACACAACCTGGATGTTCCCTGTATCTGTGGCGCAGGTCATGTGACAGTAGATTTCCTTATTTGGAGAGCGATTCTTACTCTCGAACTGTGCTTGGATGTAAGCTGCTGCATCCTCGTAGGTGTTGGGTCCTGGAGGGAAGCAGATGTGTTACGACACAATTATTAAAACAAAAACTTCAAACAGGAAGTCTCATGAAAAAAGGACTTAACAAGTAGCTTTGGTTAGTTATCTGGATGATGATGATGATTATATATTGTTACAATGTTGCATTCTCTTATAAATACTTTGTTTCCAACTTTTTTCTACTTTTGCGTAGAGTTTAGATCACCCCTGCATGGACTGGTGGCCTGTCCGAGCTGTACAACAGCTGGAGTAACCTCCGCGATGTGAAACTGGGTCAGTGATGAAAAAGTGAACGGACGGATTTCAGGTGCTGCTGTGGCTTTGGTGAAAGTCAGGGGAGGGACAGCCAGTCACAAGAAAGCAGGTTTTGGGAGGTTGGTCTTATAGAGGTAGGAGCAAAAATGACTTATTACATGTCTGCACCTGCGTAAATGTAAGACAAACAAGTACTAAAAAATATAGAGCTGGAAATGAATAAATTAGCTGTTGCATAATCCTTCATTAGTACCTGTAGGGCTGAGTTCACACAGTCAAATACTCAGTGCTCAGGTGGGTTGTTGTTAGTAGCCTAACTGTGTTACCACCATCTCTGCATTCATCACAAAGTACACAAAATATCTGTGTTTGTATCGAACTCTAAAGCTTGGACTGTGATGCGTATGCTATATACATATATGCTACAGGAAGTTAGCCAGTGGACATTTTTGGCTGTGCAACAGTGGGAAACTCTTTAAACACTTTCTTTATGCTTCACTGATTCTGAAAATCTGCAGGTCAAAGTATTTTCAGTCTGTTGCTAGTTTCAGTTTAGTAAGAAACTTAGATATATTACTGTAAAATAAAACAAATAACTGATTCACATGGACAGCTAGCTTTGAAATCTGCTACACAGCATCCACTTCTAGTGATAGCTGACTCCACACCTTCCTTTGTGCTGCACTGAACGTCACACTTCACAGGAAATCTCACACAACTATTTAAAGCTAACTGTTTTAATGAGCTCAGACTTCAGAGGAAAGCAGCTGCATATCCTGTCGAGCAGTGAGACATTTTTGTTAGCTAATGTCAGCTCAGCAGGTGAAGCGAAGCCGAGACCTGTCGACAGAGTCGGTTTAGATGATGTGATATCTTTAGCTTCGTATGAACTTAGCAGGTAGCAGAGCTGTCATCACCACATAAAAGTCCAAATTAGTAAGTAGAAATACTATTCCTGTAACAGAGGTGGACTAGCAGTGCTAAATGCAGGCTAACTGGTCTGGTTTCCTACACACAGATGATCACATCTGTATCCTATTCATTTGACCTAATTTGAAGCACATTAGCTGTATATCAGATGCAATGATAGTTCTCCTCTAGAAGCAGGGCTGATGTACTGTACCGAGGAGTCGTTATTCAGCAATGATAGTATACATTCTAATAGGTTTGCAGATTTATTGAATCATACTCAGTCCTTCTGCTGGGCAAAGTCAGGACATGTTTGCGTGTGATGTAAAAGATATTTCTCCAAGATCTTTGGCTTGAAAAATATTTGTGGTTGTTAAAGGTTCGTAAAGTCTTCTGTTGGGAAGCTGCGAGAGCATGGGACACAGGAGGAGAGACTGACAGAAGACAGACTTACTGAGGCTGTCAAGCAAGTTAGCCGAACGTAAGTAAAGCATGAGGGACAGGAATGAAAAGGATCCACTTGGAGACCGGAAAGGAGTTTGGAGTAGGCAGGAGGCAGCTCTCACTTATTGCGGCTGACCAAGCACGACTGTCTGCTGCTTCTTATAAGCAGTCTCTTCCTTTTCTCTGTCACCACCTCGTCCGACTCTCACCTCCACACGGAGAAATCTGTAAACTCGGTTCTGCCCGTTACAGGTTCTGGGTCTCTGTGCTCTATTTATCTGACTCTCCTCTGCTCCTTCCCTGCTTTCCTTTTAAACAGTATATCTCTCTTTTCAACCTGAGCCTCTGCAGTTCTTTAAACAGTTCGTTGGCCATCTCTGCTGCAAACTGTAAACAGCAACTTTGATTTAAAGTGCTTCGAATTGTTTACAAGTCTGTGACAGTAAATGTCAGGGCTAGAAGCAGAGCCGATGTACTGTACCGAGCAGTCGTTAATCAGCATCCAGAACCTCAGGAAGGGCTTTAGAAAGCATTTAATTTCTGGGAATTACACTTAACACAGGACAGATGGTAGTCATTCATACTTTTATATCCCCTCTTCAAAATGTCTCATACAGTATTAGCCTATTTTCGGCTCCGTTACACTGATTTTCATGCAAATTTCCAAATGATTTTGTACGACACAATTTTTAAGATTAAGCTCCTTCAAATGAAGCAATTTGAAATTTGGTGAAACTTGATCTGAGCTTTCAGTTAGCTTAACATAAAGACAGGAAGAACCAACATCACAGGACTATTAAAAGATAACTTTTCAGTAAACTGATTAAACTAAATGAGGAGCTCAATTAGAGGGTTGAGTGGGTTGCAAATATACACCAACATTGTAAAGCGATTCAAAAAGCACATCTTACATCGGATGTGTAGAAATGTGTCAGCTGACGTGGGCTGAGATCACCTGATCTGCTGAGCTCGACTCTGTGGCCTGCCCGAGTTCGTGCTACGCTCTGTTTTTGCAGTTGGCTACGTTCAATGAATGAACTTTAGATGTGTCGTTCTCGTGACTATATTTCGTCCTGTAAACACTTTTAATTCAGGAAAACAAATTCCAAACGTTCCTGTTTGAGATTCCTGCCCACCACTGGAATAAGCCCAAACTTTTTTCGTACCTGTGTATTCAGGGAAGCAGATGCTGAGCGGAGATTTCTTGATCTTCTCTGCAAACAAATCCTTCTTGTTGAGAAAAAGGATGATGGAGGTGTCGATGAAGAACTTGTTGTTGCAGATGGAGTCAAACAGCATCAAAGACTCATGCATGCGATTCTGCAGCGGGGAGAAGGAGGGGGGGGGGGGGCAAAATAATGAGGCACGAATAAAGAGGGAAAATGGGATTAGGGGAGATTAGGGGAATGGGTGAAGGAAATAGGAGAGAGTGAGGAAACAGGTGATAGGGAGGACATGGAAAGAAGGCCAAAGTTACACGTTACCCCGACTGAGCATGTCGACACAGTCATAGACACACATTAAAACTTCATCTGGGCCTCACACTGGAACACCAACAAACTGTGACAGTATTAATTTGGCCTGCCCGGGCAGGACTCGCCCATATTTTCAATAAAAAATTATAGTTCGTGGAGGAAAGCAAAACATATTCTGGAAAACATTTACATTCAAATCTGCTCCAAATGCACACACACACACACACACACACACACACACACACACACACACACACACACACACACACACACACACACACACACACACACAGGACCAAGAAAAATAATCACCCATATCAAGTTACTCATGTGATGCTTTATTGTCTTTATCTCATGTATAAATACAACATCCAATAAATTATGACAACAGTGAGGGAGTTACAGCAGATGCATTTTATGCACAGTGATGGATAAAATGCAGCATTCACACGCACGCGCAGGCACACGCTCATACAAACTCGCACACGCACAGATAACAGCTTAGTAGATGTGGGCGACTTGTACAGTACAGCGAGTGTTGATTGGTACCAGCATGTTGGTTGAACAGAGACTGGAAGGTTAAAGCACGGTGAGTGCAAGGACGCTGATGTGTACCGGCATAAACTCTGCGTGATGCTATCACGGGTCGTTACGGTCATGTCCCCCCAGCTCTCTGACATCTCTCCCAGCTCAGCAGCCTGAGTGCACATTACATCAGCTGGCACGGTATAGCAGGGACCGAATGTTAAAAGGTTGCAAGCAAAACCCGGTTTCTAAATCCAACGTACAAGTAAGTCAGCAAAAACAGGCCACAGGACCTCATTTAAACCTAACACGGGAAAGATTTGGCACTTCGGTTTGGCTGCCATTGTGACATTTCAACAGCTTTTTGTGCTTCTGTGGCAATGACATGGCAAAAGGTGCTAACATTTCTTTTGTGACACCACCTGCTGCCCAGAAGTGCACCCACTGCTGTCCCCAACTCTCAAAGCTGAATAGGCCACTGATTGTGTTATCCACACAGCACAACAATGCAAACAAACGACCCACAGATGTGTCCTTCAGCGCAGCCTATAGGAATGAAGTATTTGCCATCAATATGAACTACTTGCTACTTCCTTGTCCTCCTCTTGTCCTCTCAACCTCGCCTACTGTTGCAGTTGTCTTCTGTTACTTGGGATTGGTCCTAAACCACTAATTGTGTTACAGCTCGCCTGATGCAGAAACAACGACGAGGTCTAAAAGGTAATAATGTGAAGGACCGCACGTTTCCCGTCCCAAGCGCCTGCTCTGTGTCATGAAGAGACGAGACGGGACTGTAAACACTGTAGCAGAGCGCTTACACTGTTCACCTCCACCAAAAAAGAGGCTTCCACACTTTTAGTTGCGTAACAGACTGGCTTTGGTCTTTTCACCTCTCATCATGTACACCATGACTTCTACTGAACTGTTTATGAAAAAAGACGTTTCTGCTCAATTCAGTAAATTTTCTATTAGCTGCCGTCTTTAGCGTATGTTCAGTAAAATTCAAGTGTTGTGTTCTGTGAATAAATTTAGGCACACACTGATCTGAGATCACTCTAACTAATTTAGTATGTCACTGACAAACAGCACGAATCCCTGTAGGTCCGTGCGGTGCCGCGGGTTAACGTTGGAGGACAAAGCTCCGATGCTGTCCTGTCACCGTCAGCCCGACGGCAGCACAAACTTAACGGTTTCCTTTCTGTGTGTTAACGGCTACCAGGAAGCGCAGCACAAGCAGCACCTTTGCAGAGCAGCAGTCGTCAGCGCCGCGTGGATGTGGAGTGACTAAACAGAAGTGTATCTGTTGCCAGGGGCGGATCTAGAAGGGTGGCATGGGGTGGCAAGTGCCACCCTAAAATGATCCCTTGCCACCCCAGTTTTGCATATGACAGTGTTGT